CGTTGGAGGGACTTTGAAAGGGAGCTCATCACAAGGTTTGGCTCGAGTGACTACCACGATTACAATGAGGCTTTGTCTAGAATCAAGCAAGTTGGAAGCCTAAGGGAATATCAAAAAGAGTTCGAGCGCATTGCTAGTAGGGTACGGGACTGGCCCGAGAGTGCGCTAGTGGGAACGTTTGTTGGAGGACTAAAGGCCGAGTTAGCAGCATAGGTGAGGTTGGATAGACCGGGATCGATGCGAGCAGCCATGGAGTCGGCTATATTGCATGAGGATCATCTCATGGCAGTACGGAAGGCGAGGCCGAGCGACGTGCACACAGAGAATAAGCGCACGCATGCCGCGACTGAGGAACAAGCAGCACGAACCGAGAACAAACTGTTGGGAGAAGCTGTTCGAACAACGAGCAACATACGACGACTTACGGATGAAGAGATGCAGCAATGACAAGAAAAAGCCTTTGCTATTCGTGCAACGAGAAATTCACACCAGGCCACAAGTGCAAAGGTAATGAGGTATTTCTGTTGGAATTTGAGGAGGAAAAAGAACCACACGAAGAGGCTTTACTACATATGGTTAAGTGCAAAAAACGAGGTCCGAGGATGATCAGGTTCACTACTGAAATAAAGGACATGCTGTTGGAAGTGTTGGTAGATAGTGGGTCGAGTCTGAATTTTATTGACGAAGGAATAGCCAGGAGGCTGAAGCTGAAGCCCACTAAGGTCAAGAAGTTTGGGGTTAAGGTAGCCAATGGACACGAACTTGAAGGTAATTAGTTATTCAAGAAGGTTCCAATTATGGCTCAGGATCAGGAGTTAGAAATCGATCTCTATGCTTTACCGCTTAAGGCAACTAATGTGGTATTGGGCGTATGATGGTTGGAAACACTTGGGCCCATTACGACCGATTATAAGCGAGGAAAGATGGAGTTTGGATGGCCGGGAAAGCGATTTAAGTTAAGGACTGAGGACCAAGGAGATTCACCTATTGAGGAAGACAGTGATAGTGATGTGGATGTGCTGAACGTTCTTATCCTTGGGGACAAAGAAAGTCTC